TAGTATAGAGATTTCCTATTTTGTGACAAAACCTTTCAGTGAATATATGATGTACCCAGCTCCTCTATGCACGAGTAATGTCATTTGCGCATGTCCCTATAAAGCATTATGCATGTGATTGTAACATCTTCTGTAGCAGTTATGAAGGAATTATGAAGCTATTATGTAGCAACATTCAAATAAATCATTACCAAAATTTCACATACTACTGTACTTTTAAATAACTGAAACTAATACAAAGCTGGAATTTCTCTGTACTTTACTCATAAACTACAGTATGATAATGAATTGCTTTTTATAGTCCTTTGTGATTTATTGCAATATTGTTAAAGGCACAGCTTCTTTCTCCTTCACTGCTCTGTTCCCAAGGACAGACCAGTTCCTGGAGGGGGTTGTGCTTTGATCACGTGAGACAGGGGGGAAGAATTGCCTGCTATGTAGTGCATGTCTGCAAGGTCTGTTCTCTGGCTCTGGTTCACTGAGACAGGCAAACATGGTTCTTAAAGTCCTGCAACCAGTCAAACACTGCAGCTCTGGTTGTTTGCTATAATCAGTTCAAATAATACAGCACTAAAACTAAGGCAGAACAAATAAATGGATCTTTCCCTCATAGATACTGTACGTATGACCTGTGTAACAGACACCAATCAAGGTGACATGGCACAAAATATCAGTACAGTATCTTACTGGTATGACTGTCAGAGAGAGGGAAAGAGCAGTTAAGATCTTTCTAGGGTGAAGCAACTACCCTTTCCCAGTGCTTCTTAAATCAGTTTTGTAGAATTATCACCTCTTAAAAGGAACATATAGTAGATGTAAATTTCATGTCCCGGAAAATAGATCATGTATTGTCCACTGGTGTGGAAGTTTGTCTTTGGCTTATCCCGTAGAAGTACAAAACACACAAGCAAATCACAATAGTCACATAAAATCACATTAAATCACAACAACAGAATGTGATACATAAATAAATGGATAAATAAATAGTGGGGGGACTAGGGGACTACATTTACATATAGTATATTCATTGAGTAGTATTATTGCAGAGGGGACAAAAGACTTCTTATAAGTGTTTTTATTTTAATTTGGTACCCTATGCCATCTTCCTGATGGGAGCATTGTGAATTGAGAATGGGGTGGGTGTGTGGAATCAGATGTGATGTTCCTTGCCATTCTGAGAACTGTACTATGATATAAATCGCAGAACTGGGGCCTCTGTTTCCCAATCCTGGACAGTTTGGTTTTGCTTTTCATACCAAACTGTCATGTTAAATGCCAGGATGCTCTCAACAAAGCTTTTATATGCCATCTCTAGGACATTTCGCTTAACATTAAAGTTCTTGAGTATTTGAAATAAAACAAATGTTGTCTATAGTCTCAGTGCAACTCAGCTTCTGATCAATGTGTGTTCTATAAATTGATGTTAATTAATTCTGACAATTTAAAAATGCCAGAAAGAGAGGCTGGAGGGAGAGGGGGATGAAGCCAGAGGGAGCAGTCATAGACAACTGTTACACCCGAATTCGGGCTAATCAGTATAGCATAGTTGTACTTTAACAAGTAAAATGGGTTAATATATAATTAATAATATCATTTTTTCTGGGTAATATTGATGTATCCCATGATCAGTAGAAGCAGAAGATGGGATTCCATTGAACAATTTGGAATGGTGGAGTTGGTGAGGAGGGGACGTGGGGGGAAGGCTGGACAAGACAAAAATAATGTAATTAAACATTAAAGCTGTAATTAAAATTATGCAAAAATACTTTCAAATAAGTTAATAATATTTATTGATGCAGTTACTATAGCTTATTGTACAGCAAGTTTCCATTATTGTCCCCACATCCATAAAAAGTAGCTGCAAATTTCAATATATTGATATTGAATAAGTCACTTAGTAACTAATTTCTGTGGTACTGTATGTGCTCTTTGGAAACCAGCAGACTGACTTAACTTCACTCTTCCACACCCTCTGTCATTTATGTCCCCAGGCAATTTGGCTGGTGATGTTTCCTCATGCCTTACACTCCCAATAATTCATTTAAATGCATTTTCACATGATCCTTAAAAAAGGCATTTGGCCATCTGTTACACGGGGGAAGCAGGTTGAAAACCTGAAAATAGCACAGCACATAATGCCTTAATCTGCGCTGCTGAACACTTACTGTGGATACTTAGATATCAATCCTATGTACCTTTCTCAGATATAGTTGGGGTTTGTTTATCCTACACATGATTTGCTGAATTACTTAATACTGCATGATTTTTTTCAAATTTTTATAGTTGCTGTGTAGACAAAAAAACATTTATAAAATGAGCAAAGTGTAGAATGTCCAATCATGCACAATTTTGTATTGCGCTGGCCACAAATCCATAACTAGTGCAGTATGTTTTAGTGATAAATTGGTATAAAATGTCTATGCATCCCTTTTTACTTGTACATTTAAAATAAATCAGAAAGGCATATCTGAATAGAAAATATAAAGAAGGCCTATGGCATCACCTGGAATATCTTTTGTAGTACAGAGAACCTACATAATTACATATCACACCCTTTGAAAGAACACACTCATCATTGCCTAAATGTGAGTCAGAAAGAGATGAGCAA